ACAGAAGCGCTAAATAATATGATGGCAAGTTGGGAACAAATATAAGCACTCAGGGCCTCCCTGGTATCCTAGGGGTAAAGTCTCAGCCTTAGCACTATCACTACTACGGTCTGTGTTTGATCCCCGGTAAGGAAGCTGACCCACATGACACCGCAGACGTCGTCTGTCTCATCTACTGCTCTCCTTAACAGTGTCTTTTGGTGAATTCGCCTTTTCTGCCTCCCATTCTGTCTCTGGTGAATCTTCTCACTTTACTTCCCCCTTATATCCCCCACCCCCACCATGCACACACCTCTGGCTTATACTTCAGTTCTCCTATGCAGAATAATAATAATAATGATAATAGAAAGAAATACATAAAAATTTACAAAAAGATATAAGCATTTAAGAATATATTCCTCTCCTGATGTCCCCCATATTTTCCAACTCCAGTTGTCCTGGTACCCACTGCCAAGCGTTCAAAATATAAAGCCAAGATGGCCACACGTCAGTCCTCTTTGTGTTCAATTGAGTTAAATTTAAAATGATCATGATCTCACTGGTGAAATATGTAGGATGAAGGTGGTTGAATGCTCCCTGTTATCATCAGGCAAAGGCACTTGCAGTGTGTAGTTTCTGCTTATTGCTGTAGCTCCTGCAGCATTTCTTTGCTCTGATCCACATGCAGTAATTCCTTTAAACATTACTTTAGTGTCTTATTTTATTTAAAACAGTTGAAACTTATTTAATCTTCATGTCTACATTTTGCTTATATACTGTTTTCTATAAAGCCGTGGAATTTTGCTGAAGGCAGTTACAATTCTTATTTTTAGACTCACTGTGTTTGCTCTAAATATGGTATAAGGAAAAGCTATAGGAGAAAGTGGGAAATTTCAGCACATAAAGCACCGTGACTATATGTGCACTTTTTACAGCCTTACAAAAGTGAGACAAGTGTCTAATAACTGCCTCTGTGCTCTATTGTCTTCTAAAGACTCATTGTGAGCATTTTCACTGCAAGAGTTGCTTTTTACACTGTCACTGATGTGGCCCCCTTTACTAATCTGTAGATGAATGTGTCATTTATTGTGTGTCTGTTCTCTTTCCCTTGCTAACAAATTACCTTTTTTTTTTTGGTTGTGACACATTTCTGGTTTAAAGAGTAATTTTGTTGCCTTTATCTGAAATTTTACAATATTTGCATAAATGAATGACAGATCAAAATCTCTAAAATGTTTAAAGGCTAAAATTCTGACATTATCAGGACAAAATGTGTTCTGAGTTCTCCTATTGCATAATGCTCTATGCTGGGAGCAGACGCTGTGTTTCACCTGGGCCTCTCCCAGGTGTTCATATGTACAATTTGATAAGTGCAGATGTGTTCACTGCTGCAGAAAACTCTTAAGGACAGACTTTAAGCCTTCTCATCTGTGACTTCTTCTGTGGAAGATAGTAGGGAGCTAATAGAAGTCAGCCTAATTGTGTTGGCAATGTGGTTTAAGGTTGCGGTCTTCAATGCGTTAAAAATTTGGATTATAACACATTCAAGCAGGTGCTTTATTAAATTAAAGCTTTAAAATATTTCAAAAATAGAACTTGAGTCAAATATAAGTTGGATCCCTAAGGCATATTCTGAATGCTCTTGATAACTATTGCTTTAGAGCATCTGAACTCCCTTAAATTCAAATTAATGTATGAATGGCTAGAAATACATTTACTTGCTTATTTTGAAAGGATCCTTGCTAACCCAAATACAGCTCAAATCGGTAGCATTTAAGGAAGATTCTAAGAATTGCCCTGTTATCTGGCTAAAAAAGCAGAGGCCTCCACCAATACCTCTTGATTCAGATTCAATAAATCTGAGGTTGTTTCCAGTATATATTTTCAAAAGTCCCACTGGAGTTCTGATACAAGTTGTATGTACATGTTATTAAAAAAAATTTTTTTTCTCTAGAAGTTCCACTGATCGAAAGAAAGCCAGTGATAGTCATTTCCCCTACGAGCTATTTGAACTGTTTGAATGTGGTACCTTTGAGTGCCATATGCTCACTTCAGACTAAATTGTTAAATACAAATTTTGAGTTCCCGTTGCAGAACTCTTTCATTTGTTGCCTCAAGATAGCTGGCAGTGGCCTTTAAAACAGACAAGTATGACAAAATGCAGAGAAACCTAGTAAAGTTAATTAACTTTATCATCACAATTTTCCCCAGCTGTCTATTAGTAGTGTTTCCACAAAGAGAAACTTCCCCATCACGCTAATAATTCTTTGACTCATAGTCAGGGTGATATAAATGTAATGTATCATTGTATTTTAAATAGCAAATCTAATTAGTCACCTATGGCATTGTCACTGAGAAGCACAAAGAACAACACCCTTTTGAAGACTTTGTCAGTGCGAGGGAGCAATACTGACAACTAGAGAAGAACGAGATAGCAATAGGAACCCATTGCTACTTATTTTGGAAATCTTCATCCATCTTTTTCCAGCTGTCGAGATGATATCTGTGGGAGATCATCACTGGCTTCCTTTTCTCTACTTCATCAATCATCATCACTTAGATGTCCTTTTCTGTCTGAGTTTTCTTCAGATCTGAAGGGCTTGTGTGCCGATTATTTAATTGGCAGGTAGATACAAAAAATACCAGGAGGGTAGGGACATGAGACAGGATAGGGAAGACAATATAGAGTAGAGGTTGTGTCATCAAGCAAATTATCCTGTGGGTAAATGAAGCTCCATCTGAAACTCTCTAGGGGATAGAGAACCACAACCCGAGAGTTGTTCTCTACAAGGGAGAAGGAACTGGGCAAATAAACATCAACCTTCTGTACTACATGGTGTATGATCACTTCTGGGAATTGTTTTGATTCCCTTATATGCAAGTCTCAGAGACTCATAGGTCAGAAAAAAGATGAACTCAGGAAGACAGCACTGGGTTCATGCAGGAAGCAACTTGTGGAGTGCTGAGAGGTTCAAGCATGATTTAAAGGCAAATGTTAAACTTAGTAACCACATTGTTTTTATGCTCATGAAAATCCTTAGTCCCGGGGTCTGCCACACTATCCCAGTTGAAAAAGTTTCTTCTGGATGCACTTTCTTGTTCAGACCTAAGTGAATCAGGGTTTATGGAGCAGATCGAATCTGAGGTCCCCCGGAGGGTCTCTTTTGGGTCTTTTCTTAAGTGAGGAAAGAATTCAGCATCCAGGCAGAGTTAAACAGCAAAGCAAGAGATTTAGTGATAGATGAGAGAAAGAACATGAAAGCTCTCTTAGCAGAGAGGGATCCTGAATGCAAAGCTCTGAAGAGCTGAAAAGCAGTTCCTCTTTGGTTGTGTTTCTTCCTGATTGGGTGGGCCCATAAGGTGGAGGAAGGTGGTCTCGTACTGAGACCCACTGAGTTTGCCCAATTTACCCGGTTTACATTTCCGAAACTAGCTTTGGTCCATTGCTTTAGCACTGTGTTATTGTGTTGGAGTTCAGAACACTCCACGCTTTACTGTTTGTGGGGTGTCTAGGTCTGCTCTGCAATCAGGCTGATAAATAGACCTAAGGCACTTGGGCTTGGGGGGTTGGGTGGGATGGGGTGCTGGATGTCCCCCTAGCTCCAACGGATTGTTTCTCAATTAGGCTGATAAATGGGGGCACCGTGTCCTACCTACTGCCTGTACCCATTTCCTAGCTTTCCCTTTATTAACATATGCATAGATAATGTTAACATTAATACATAAATATGTTTCCATTGTATTTGTTCTACAAACCTGTAGCCCTGCATCATTCTAATCAATACAATGGATTTTTAGGCAACTCCCCCTCCCCCAGTTAAGTGGTTCTTTATTATAAATATGTATTCTTCAAACTTCAGCCAGGCCCTCAATGTGGTTCACAGTGATCCTCCCGGAGAGACCCCTTTCCAATTTCCATTTTCAAAGCAAATACTCCAAGCCTTTCTTCTTCTCCTCTAACCCCTCTCTCCCTTTTTATTTCCCTCCCTCTCTCCAAACTTATGACTTTTATGATCTCCATTTATTTTTGCACAAGCAGGAATATAGAAAAAAAAAAAACCTTTACAGGGTTCCTACAGATTTCTAGCTGAGAATACATTTCCCTATCCATTCCCTCCTATGCTGAGGACTTGATCTACCAATTTCCCTTATTCACCTACGCATCTTTGATTTTTCCTATTATCCTTTCCCAGGAACATATAAACTTGTGCTAAAGGTAACATGCTTGCCATAGTGACACAGTTGAAGGTGTACACACACACACACACACACACACACACACTTATTTTAGACCCAGCAAATAGCTCTGAAAGATATTCTCTGTTTCACTCAGCATGCTCTAAAATTTATGCACTGTGTTAACTACATTTTGGTGTATATTAATCTACCCCAAAACATAACATTAAAAAATAACACAGTTATTTAACACAACTGTGGTTAGAAATCTGGGCAGAGCTTACATTGCTATTTCTGGCTCAAGGTCTCTCATGAATTTCTATCCATTTCTGCTATATCCATTTCTCTGGTGAACTGAATTCCTCTTTGAGGCTGCAGAATCAATTTCTGATATGTCTCAGAAACCTGGCTCCTGGCAGAAGACCTTAGTGTTTTTGCTTTTTTTGTTTGTTTGTTTTTCCAGAAAAAAACCTGGTTCTACCTACATGGTCTCTTCTTGTGGTTACTGAAGTGACAGCCTGCTTCGTCACTTCATAGGTGAATAAGGGAAATTGGTAGATCAAGTCCACAGTTCCTTCCATATTCCAGTCTCAAATCGTACCGTCACTTCATTCTATTCCATTGAAGTGAGTTTGCTAAACCAGCTCTCTCCGGGGAGGGAGTTCTATGGGAAGATCAGTAAGTCCTGAATTGACCCCACCCACTGGTGCTTAATAGACTCCTCCCCCACCTCCCTGAGGGGAGGGCTCAGGCTCCAAGGACTACAATTCCCAGAATGCCATGGGCCTGCCATGACTTGACTTTTTGAAGAGGGGATTGATGGGAACTAAGGGTGGAGCTCAGCAGCCATTCTCAGCCATGGTCTGCGGGTTTTGCTTGACTTCAGCGACCCATGCAATCCTAGACAGCTTGACTGGTAGGACGCATTAACCAATTACTATCTATTTTCATTTCCGTTGTTGAAAAACAAAAAATAACTTTTATTAACTTTTCAGTGTGTGCTTCCCTTGGGTCTCATTCTGAGGTTTTTTGTTTTTTTTTTTCTTTAAACATGCAGATAGGACTCAAATCCAAGCCATCCCATTTCCCTTTCAGGTTTCCCTGTAACAGCCCCACCATTTGAAAGTAAGGGTATGAAGGAATTGAGTGCATGTTTGTCACATGTTCTTTATCCATCTTTGTTGTCTTGTCCTCGTATTTGTTTTTCGAGTGTCTCAAGACCAATCATGACCTCAGTTAGCAGACCAACAGTAATGGTCTTAGCTTATGGAGAAATATGAACCTTGTAGTGGGGGAAAATATTGCAGTGAGGTGGAGACACAGGGATGGAAAAAATCACCAAAGACAGTGGAAAACAGAAAGGGCGGCTTTATTGAAATGCACACTAAGAGAAGCACTGGGAGAGACAGAGGTCTGTGCAGGAAGAGTGATGTGAGGTGAGGCTCTTTTCTACAGTTTTTCAGCCTTTGGGCAGCAGTTTGCACCATTTATTGGCTGCAGTGTCTGGTTTCGGGCAGTGGTTGGGGCAGAAAGGGGAGGGCTCCGCTGCTGCAAGGCTGGTGCTGGCTGATTTTTCCTGTAAGCGATTGGTCCTATGGCCTGTCCTTACGCTGCCTTATCAGTTTCCTTATCTGTTCCAGCCTCCCAAACCTGCCTGCTGGGCAAGGAGTGGGAGCTGAGTTTTAAACAAACCTCCATTCTAAGAACTCAATTTTTGTGGAACATATTTATTCTTTTTCTCTGGAAATGACTTCTTCTTATTCCTCCTTTTGTCTCTTCGCAACACTTGCCAGTAGCGTGCCCTCAGGTGTTTCCTGTGAGGCTCCATATGAGGGGCCATATACACGCCCAGGAAAACACTCTCTGTGCAGATGTTCTCAATCCCCTATTTAAATCACAGCGCTCTCTCCATAGCTTCAAGTTGTGCTGTCCCTGCTATCTGCTCCATATCTCCTTCAGCCCTTCAAACCCAAGACTCTTCTGTCCTCTCTCCAGTGCTCTCTGCTTCCAGGGAGAGGATTCGGCATGTTCAAACGTAAATACATTTTTTTTTTCTTCTTGTTTTACTAATGAAAGGTGCTTTACTTGAGAATACAATACTTATTTGAATGATCACTCAAGCTCTTTGCTCTAAATATATAGTGTGTGAGATGCTCTCATTGGAAGAGCATGCTAGTGTTTTCCATCCTAATTTGCCCCAGGACTAACTAAGACAGAGCTGACCCAGGACCTGCATTGTGTTTGCTTTCCCAGGTGTAGAAAAAAAAATTGAACAGGAAACTCCAAACACTTCAATAAAGTATTTTGTTCTGGATCTTGTACTGGCAGACTTTAAATTAACTTTTCCTCACATTGAAGTGGTAAAGTCCAGTTTTAATTTTGGTTTTGGAGTTTGGCCATCTTTAGTTCAACAACAATTTGACATCTGTTGACATATGTTCAGTCCTTTAGAATTCTGTGGAATTGCAGGCCAGAAAGTATCCTTTTATTACTCTTGTTATTTGTATTTATATTTTCCCTGGGGCCTTCTTAGGTGAATGATTAGTAAGGTTATATTTGGATATTACTGGATCCTAACCCAATGTCATCTCAATTATTGCCAAAAAGTGTAATCTTAAATTATTCTCTCCTCCCCCAGAAATTGCACCTTCCCCCAAATCTTGGTGAATAATATCAATATTCACAAGCCACTCAAGACAAAATTAAATTTACCCTACAGCTTTCCTCTAATGCACTGCCAAAGGCAAACTACATAAAATACGTCTGACACCAAATATGTGGGTTTTCCACACTAACACTACTTCTCTGCAGAAACCAGTTGGGTGTCCTACAGTCTAAATCAGTTCTGCCACCAGGCTGAGGGAGGAAAAGACCTCACAGGTTCATGCCTCTGCCCCACAATTCAGATGCCAATCAGAAGTTGGGTCCTTAGGCTACCTGTACATTTTGTGTGGGCTAGATGGAAGTCAGGGGTTCTTACAGGCACCTCTCCAGGTTCCAGCAATTTTGCTGTAGTAACTCACAAAACTCAGGGAAACACTTTTATACATAAAGGATACCAGAGAAAAGCCAGATGAAAAGGTACATAAAGTTTGGAAAGGTCCCAAGCTTCTAGAAGTGTTCCAAAAGACAAGAGCTTCGTCTCATGGAATTTGGCATGCAGATGTA